GAGATGTGGTGCAGTACTTGGTGCTGCTGGAGCTGATGTTGCTGGAATTGTTGCATTTGGGCTTGCATTGCTCGCATGCATTGCATCAGGTTGTCCAACTGGTTCTGGCTGGTCGCCAGGGGGACATCAGTTGGTTCAGTAAAGGTTGTTTCGACATGGAGAGGAAAGGGGATGTTCATGGCAKGAAGGTTTACGGGCGCCACTGTTTGTGGCGCATTCAAGCTAGGGATCCCATCCACCGGGAGGGGGATGGTGAACTGTCCGATGCACACCACGGGGACTTGAAGTTGTTCCTTGGTGGTGTTCACCTTCGTGACACGTCCGGCATTGCTGGAAGAAGCCATGAGTGTTGGGGTTTTTGGAAAAAAGAGGTTATGAGAGTTTTAGAGGGAGGTTTTTAGAAGCGTTTCCCGCAGACGACGCCAATTGATGGTGCGCAATCCGACCGGTCCTACTTGTCAACGACCTTGCCTTCGACTGGAGCAACAGGGGGCCTGAAACGGAGAAGAAAGTGGGGTCTCCGGGGAGGAATCCGGTGAGATTGCTCCGAAGCTCAAGTCAGTATTCTCTTAAAGGCAAGATAAAACCAGATGTGCAAAGTTCACATACCTTGTCCTCGGGGGGTAGAGAGCCTTTTATAACCACTTCGCGCACTCACTCGTAGGCTTCTGTCAGGTCGGGTATGATTACTTCTGTGCTTCTACCAGTTTGGGTGTCATCACCTCTGCTGGGACAGAACCGCCACTGCTCTTTGTCGGAGCCGTCTCTGTAACTGGAGATGGCGGTGGCAGGTGGCGGTGGCAGGTGGCCGTTGGAGTGCGGCTGTCAAGCGTCAGATCCCAAGTCAGCCAGGTGCGCCGCCCTTGGATACGGACTCCTTCGGTGTCAGGTACGGTGTGGTTTGTTCAGTTCAGTGTCCTAGAGGCGAAGTGCTGGAGTGGTGTGCAAGGTGAAGTCTTGAGTTCGGACAGAGGTGTGGCCCGAACTGCCATAGGGCAGGCCAGTTCGGGTTGTTGCCCTTTGTGTTTGTAAGGCTCGGGGCCTAAGGGAGAGCTCGGGCTCCTTACTGGGAGTTCTGGCTCCTTACAGGGAGTTCGGACCGCTGGTTCCTCCTTTTCGGAGCTCGCGCCTTGACGAGCTGTTGTGCCGAGCTGTTGCCTTTGCCGCGTATTGAGTGGTTACGAGGTCGGGCCAAATCTTTCTTCATCAGTTTTCATATTTTCAAAAAAATATGAAAACAAAAACATAAAATATACAATACAAGCGCTATATCATACTTTTCATACTTTATAAAAGCCCATCCAAACAGGGCCTTAATTTAACTTAGCAACCATAGTTTTCCTTCTCCGTGCTATGATTCAAGACACCATGCACCGACCACTTCGGTGGACATATCTACATCTTTTCGCGACATGATCGATGTATATACACACAGTACACATCATCATGTACGTACGTGCATCCGTGCACGCTTGTCTACAAACCACGACCATATAAGTTTGATATATATATAATTTACGTGAGTATGTGGACTGAAGAAATAGTAAAAAAAGTATATTTAAGATCATCGGGGCTTAATTATAAGAATGAATAAACAAATTTGATAGGGAATCTATGTGTGTAGTGTAGCAGAGGAGACAATGTAGAGCCGTTCGTGACTAGCTAGGGCACTAGAGTCAAAGATTTAGATGGCAAAAGGTCAGTGGGGAGGGTAGCTTGCAACTGGACGACCCTTCTGGAGAAGCTCTCTAATATGACGACTATCGATCCTTTGGTTGTGTTTCTCACGTCTCTGTGGCCTCTCAGCTCAATGACAAAAAAGAAAGTGAAAAGTCATATATACGAAACCTAGCGACCTTTATTCCGCTTTCAGAATGATCTCTTAAATCAATGTTGATAACGTGGAGACCGGCGCTGCTTGGAGAAAAGGACGTATCGAAGGTGGGGGGGTTATTCCAGCACATGCTCTGGTCTCTCTGTGTATTCATCTGGGTCCAACAGAATACGTCGTTTCAGTGGTTGCTCACTTTTTATCTCCATTTTCAGATTTTTTTTGTTGTTGTTTTTACTTCATTTCAGCTGGGTCGTTAGTCTAATATCACTGTAGAGAGTCTAGCCACTATAAATCAATTGAGACCTGAGAGCTCCAAGTGCTCTGCAGGAGAGAAGATATCATCAGCTGTGTCGCCATGGCTAAGAATGGAAGCAGCAGTGGGAAGAAGAGAAAGAGCATTGTAAAGCTCAAAGTTGTGGTAGAGAAACTACAGAAGAGCTTTTCCCTGTCGAGGAGAGGTGATTGTGAGTCGGATGAATCTGAAGAGATGGATGAATCTACGACATCAGTGCCAAAAGACGTCAAGGAAGGCCACTTTGCAGTGATTGCAGCTGATGATGGTGAGCCCAAGAGGTTTATTGTTGCACTGGATTATCTGGCAAATCCTTCATTCCTCAGGCTTTTAGAGCAGGCAGAGGAGGAGTTTGGTTTTGATCAGGAGGGTGCACTCACCATACCTTGCAGATCGAGTGAACTCGAGAGAATATTGGAGGAACAGTGGGAGCTGGAGAGAGTTGTGAATGCTTGTGTTGACTGGATGTCCTGTAAAGCCATGGTGAAAGGTTGCTAATTAGAGAGAGAGAGGGAGAGAGAGTATGTTTGGAAATTTAATTAATTAATGATCCATCCCATCATCTATCTGTTGTTACTCTTACTCTTGTATGTGCTAGCTGCTACCTCTCCATGAATTATATATTAACATATAGTTAGTCTATCTGTTTTAGTCTATGTCAATACCTTTTTTACTTGCCATCTCTGTTCAATCTATCAAACCTTAATTCTTTTCCTCATCACTTAATATTATAAACCCCCCCCCCCCCCACACACACAGTGAGAGAGATTGATCTTGTACGACCACCCAGCTTAATTTATAAATGGTCGACATTGATCTTGTGCGACCAATTAATAAACTTATAGACGATGATATTGAGTGAGCATTAATATACGTTGCTAAGGTCATGTGTTGAGGGATCCACACTACTGTCTTCTACCAAATCATTTATTGTGGATACAGTAGTTCATCAAAGTTTCAACACTCATACTTTGGTGGGATCCATGATTTGAATATACAAATTAATAATCAGGCTCTCAGTTATTGTTTTTCTTGGCAAACTGTTTGATGTTTTGTGGAGAGAGTCCGACCTTCAGACGGAAGGAAATGAATAAAAAGACAAGACAGGAACAGTATTTTTTGAGACAAGTCACAACAGCAGGTGCAATTGGTACTAACCAAACTTTTCGTAATAGCAAGCGGACAGACATCTCATGCATGCTGCTTGTACCTAACCATCTTTCGTGGCCTTCACTCCTTAATTCTCATTAATTACATCATTAGACGAGTATATATATATATATATATATATATTTAAATAACTAAATAATATTATAAATAATTAATTTCACTTATATCAATTAATAATTATAGAAAATAATTTTCAAAAAAAATAATATTTATTAGTAATAGTTTTACAATAATAGTGTATATTCCTTATATATTTATATATATTAAAATTAATATTTATTTTATATTCAGTAATTATTTATTGTATTTTTTGATAAATATGTTTTCAATAATTATTTATAAATCTATTTTTGTTTTGTTATTTAACAAAAAAGTGTCAATAATTTTTAGAGATTAAACAACTATTATTTAACTTTTAAAATTTAATTTATCGTATTTATTATATTTTTGTTATAAATTTATTTTTAGTAATTCTGTATTTTTATAATTTATTGATTAATATTTATTATAGATTAAACTATTATTTGGGATTACACTATTTTATTGACTAATTTAATATATTTTTAGTATTTATTGTATTTTTATTAGATATCTATTGTATTTTCATTATAAATTTATTTACAATAATTGTGTATTTTTACTATAAATTTTTAATAATTATTGGAGATTAAACTATTGCTATTTATTATAGATTAGAGTATTAATTTAGCTGAAATTAGGAGTGTTCAAGGATTGGTTCAGTTCGGTTGTAGGTTGTCTCGCCACCAAATCAACCTGGTTAAGTCAGGAGTTTGTCACCCGAAACCAATTGACCATTAGTGAAAATCCGCCAACTCAGGTTGTATTGGTTTGGGTCTATTTTTAATTTGGTTTTTTTGTTCAAAAAAATTAAATTTAAATTTAATAAATTACAGTGGTATTATTAAAAGATAAATATATGATATAAAATATTTTAGACTAAGAAATATGAGAATTTTCCCACTTTCCCGTATTAAAAAATTATATTTAAAATATAAAATATTAATATATATCTATGGTCGGGTTGGTTTAGTTTTGATCAATTTAGAAATGGTCAAACTAAAAGTGACCTAACTTGGTTGAGTTGAAAAATTGCTAAACCAAAGCCGATTGAAAATACTAGAAAACCCACCAACTCGGGTCGAGTTCAATCGGGTTGATTATTAAAAAGTTAAAATATAAAACAATTATATACTCTTATGTATTTCTATTATTTAACTTTCGCTTCATAGTGCTCGTACATCGCACGGTTCCACGCTAGTATATACACTTAGTATATATATATATATATATATATATATATATATATATGTGATTTAAGGATTGAATTAATTTGACTATTTGAGGTAAAATATAGGATGCATCTGCCACATGGTGCAACAAAAGATGTGATTGATTGTGATAGTAAGTACATCTTTTATGGGTAAAAATGATATACTTTATGAGTACACTTTATGAAATGCGAGCCAATGAAAACTAATGGGATGTATAACATGATAGGTTTTGTTTTTAAAAATAAAAACAACTGCTACATCATCCAAATAATATAATTTTTGCTGCTGTGGTAATTGATCTTGTTTTCATAAACAAAACCAACCATGTTGTAAAACACCTCCTAAACAGACTTTAATATAATTGGTTGAGATCCGAATTTAACATACAACCTGTATTAATAAAGACACCATAGTTGAACTCTTAATTTGATTGTATTTCACTATCACTTAATAGATTGTTTTGCTATAAGTTTGTAATTCACCAAGTTATAGTACGACACAAATTGGATCAAGTAAATGATTCCCAACTCTTGCGAAAGATTTTCCTTTATGTATACATAATCTTATTAATTTGTTTTGGAGTGTATTTACGGTATAGTGCTTTCTCAGTTTCACTTGGTTACATTTTATTAAATAATTAATCAATTTGATGGGTTTTCCGGTCCACTAGACATGGGTGAAGTCTGAGTGTAGTCTCCGATATCAGGCACAACATTGTAAGCACAGCGAATGAACACACAATAAATATTCTTCACATGTATCAAAAGTTGATTTTAATGTTTTTGAAGTGTAAACTGGATAAGTATAAAAAAGTTTTAATTACTAACTTAGCGTGCTCATAATTTGTGTCTATACCTGATTCAGACTGGTCTGGAGTATTAATGTTTCTAGTCAGACTCAGACCAAGACCAAGTGTAGAACTAGAATGTGCCAGATACAATTGTGGTGGTTAAATTAATATTAACCCCCTGAAAGCATAAAAAAAACTGGGACCTTCACTAGTTCACTGGTTGACCGGCTGGTTTAATATGTATTAGGGGTGCAATTTGGGCGGGCCAACCTGGAATTTTCTAGGCGTTGGGCTTGAATTTTCGGTCCGTCTTGGATTCAAGAAGTCAGATTTTTTTATTTTTCGGGCTGGGCTTAGGCTTAGCCCTTAGGTAGTCGGAACCTGGCCCGAGCCCAGCCCAATTATATGCATTTATACATATATATGTGTATATATGTAAATGTTGCATACATACATACATACATACATACATACATACAAATATATATATAAATATTTTGCATACATATTTATATACATACATAAATATATGTATATATTTGTATAAATACATTTATATATGTATAATTTTTAGAGTGGGATCATTGACCAACCTAAGTTTGGCCCGGGCCCGAGCCCAACCCGAGTGCATCAAATAATAGGGCGGGCTGGGCTCGGCTTGGGAAAATTGGGCTTGACTTGGGCTCGGGTATGAAGCACCCATCCTCTTAAGAGGATAAGACATATCTCTTAATAAAGTACAGATCCAAATTAGATTTGGATAATCTCCTAATTTGATTAGGAGAGTGCTCCATAAGGAGATAAAAAGAAGAAGAGGGCAAACAAGACTAGAACACCACTCTCTCTTGTTCTCTATTCTTCTATTTTGTCTTCCAAGAAACTCGATCACGACCTAGGCTTTCAAGAACTAATTTAAATTAGTTTTCTTCTTTGTTTTTGCAAGAAAAATTCAAAAGAAATCAGCCTCACTTACCTCATTCGATTCAAGCAAGTTGGATCACAGTTTTATTGAAAATAGTGTTGCTGAACCAACTTCACCTACACACTGCGTCATTTTCAGTGGAGGCTGGTTTTATGACTGATTTGGGCGTGAACTTCTACATTGGGATCTGCGTTTGTGGTATCCGTATCAAGTATAATTTCTCCTATTGATTTGGTTTCAAATTTGGTCTGGTTTAGTGCAAGACCGATTTGGAAAATTCAATTTTCAAATTCAATCTTCTAGCCATATACCATAGTTCAGCCATTCATATGATGGATTCTAAGCCTTTCCAACAAAAGTGGGTTCCAGTATTAGATGTATGGTGTGAGATCTAAAAGTAGGACCCGTCATATATGAGATTTACGGTGTGAGAACAGGTTGGTAGAGGGTTGGAATGTGTTTTGTTGGTAGGTGATCTGGACTTGGGATAGGGTTCATGTATCCTATCCCATATAGTTGGGACTAGGCTTAGATGATGATGAGAGAAAGGTTGATGTTTTTTGATAATTAAATAGAAAGATTTATTGAAAGAGAAAAAAGAGAAGGAAGATACATACGTAAATTGGAAGCAAAGCTAGTTTAGAGCCAAAACCAATGGGAATTGAAAAGCATCCAAGACATGAAAGAGAGTTTCGCAACGAGCGCTCCCCAAACCACCACGCAGAAAATGACTTTGGATCTCCTGCCCACAAGAACTCTACCCACGTCTACCCATAACACACTGCCTCCGTGAATTGGGAACATCTCCCCATGCATAATACTATGTAGGATGATGAGATGTTCCCCATGTGTGGCTGCGATGAAATGTGGGTAGATGTCGATAGATGATAGAGTTCTTGTGGGTAGGAGATCCAGGCTCACATAAATCTAGAAGAACAACTGCACAACCTCTTTAGACAAGGATCACCCAACTCGTGAATCAAACCCACATGTGATCCACACAAAACCTTAGAATAATTAAAATTGAAGACTCAAAGCCCTAATCCACTGATAAGCTAACTCGAAGCCCGACCTCTCCCACCCCTTCCTCTTCCTTTTATCGCTTTTGTCATTCTTAAATCCCCCTTCACCGAAGTGCCAACATAAAAATCGATCTGGGCATGGCTACAAGTGGTATCCATTTGGTCTGAATTCAAAATGAATCTAATCCAAGTATGGCTTAGATGACCTAAAATCTATCCATTTACAATTGTACTAGTGGAGGGGCCCATGCTTTGCAGGGGCTGGAATGGAATCGTCGACCTGTTGACCCGGTCCCTGGCCAAAAACCGTTGAATTGGTCAACGACCATTGACCCGAGCGGTCGAACCATCTATCCATTGACTCGTTCAATGGTTTTTTACCGTTTTTTATTTTTTTAATTGGGAAGCATCCAGGCAACCGGTTCCAT